TTTATTATTATATTAATGAAATATATTAATAAAATATATTTTTGTATATTAATAAATATTATATTTTTACTGTTAATAAATTATAAAATACATATATTTTTCTTTTGGTTAAGAAAAAGAAAGAGAGAGAATTTGAATCGATCTGGATCTGGTAATCGAATGAAAGTGATTATCAATATTTTGGAACATTAAAAAACGAATATAAAGAAAGTAAATACATATATAAAACCGCATAAAATACAACTTTTTTTTTTATAAGAAGGTATTTAAGTGCCATCAACCGAATAGTTTTGTCTCGGTTTTTTTTTTAAATATTTTCACTTCTTTTTTTCCTTCATTTGGGTACCGATGATTTTATGTATAAAACACAACGTACATAATTTATTCCGAAATTTCATGTTTTTATTTTTTGAGAAAGATAAAGCTTTTATTGTTCATTTACAAAATATTACGATTTTTATATATGATATATATTGTTATATATATGATAATATTATATTAAATAAGTATGTTATATATTTACATTTAATTGAAAATGATATACGAAATAGCGACGTGCCTTGTTTACGTTACGCGTTTATATGTACATGACGATATGATAGTGGAACAACAAAAAGACATCGAGTACGGGAAATCGGCGCGTAGGGAGACGAAAAGATTATTATTATTCAATCAACATCTGTACGTTAAGGAAGGTGTATCATCAGTTGTCCATCAAAGTTCTATTTTAACAGTTTTCGATAGCGATTCTTTCTTTTTCCTCGTAACAAAGATTAGTATTGATTTAAAATCTCTTATTCTAAAAAATCATCATTATTATTAAAAATAATTTATTTAATAACTAAATTTTAATATCAAAAAGAATTTAATAACTAAATTTTAATATCAAAAAGAATTCATTAGAGTTATCAATCAAAACAAAAAAATCGAGCTACAGGATAGGATTATTTGAATGCAGAGAATTAAAAATTTAATCTGAAATCTAAAACGCTAGGTATTAAATGGCATAATACATGTTGCGGTAGCTGCACTTGTTAATACTTCAGGAGTTTACGTTTGCAATAATTAGTCAGCCGCAAATGAGAGTCTCGTTCGTGCTGTTTTTCACATTAACACTCTTCCCTTCTCCTTCCCACTTAACGAAACCTTAACAACAAAAAAATTGTACATGCATTGCGCGTAAAAATTCCAGGCGTTCTTCGTATTCTAGTTTTAACGCACGATCTTTTATCCCGCAAAGCGGAGAACGAGCTTGCCTGCGACATGCCTAAAATACACAATGGTAATAAACGAGAAGTACATATATAACGTGTGGAGTTTATTGTCGCGACTTAGGTATTCAACAACCTTCTTTACACGCGCATTTCACGCGTGCTCATATTCTGCTGGGTCCTGTTAGCGTTACGGTGTCATTCCGTGGCTCCGAGATAAGGAGATAACTTATTCGAGAGCTGGGACTCTTCACTCACGAGCCGGATACCTGGAGTGCTGACGAAATTAAATAAAACACACTTTGTTTTTTTTTTGTTTTTTTTCGCGGAAAAAATCCTCGTGCTTGCAATGGACAATTGCATTGACAACCGTATTGAAACGCTGGGCGTTCACTTCCTATGAAAAGTTTTATTCTTTTACGTTCAACAAATTCCTAACGATTGCTTCATTAATATTAACGAGCTGGAGAACGCGAGAAACATGAGAATAATTACACAGGGCGTACTTTGGATAAAGTAATGTAATGGATAATGAAATTTTTTTTAACGAATATACCAAAAAGAATGATATAAAAATATCATATTACAATAAGATAAAAATTTTAATTAGTTTTTAGAAAAATTATGCAAACAAATCCTTGAAATTAATCGAAAATTGTCAATTCTGAAATTTATTTTTATATCCATGAAAATAAATTTCCACGATAAATTCCTTATTTTCGTTAATAAAAAATCGTATATGTCGCGAAGGAAAAATCGATTGACTAATTAAAGAAAGAATTGTATTAAATGTTGATATGTCAATGACCGAGATACCACTATATAAACAGCAGTCTATAGTTTCGTCGATGGTGCCTATCGAGCCGAATCGATATTTATGACGACTCAGGTGCAATATAATCACACGAACGTTCATTCTTAGGATCCGCCAACTAGATATACGGCGTGACTGATTGCACCGCGTATGCGCGCGATTAGAACGCAGACCGTGCATCACGTGGTGGTGTGCATCGGATCGGAATAAATTATCAGTTGAAAAGTAAAGAACGGACGGAAAACTGTGTGTTACACTCGTCGCTCGCGATCACCATCGGTCCGTAAATTGCCATTACTTACATATTCAAGAAATTTTTTCTCTTTACAAAGGATACACGATGTGTAAATTTACCTTGTATGTCCTTATATTTTAAACAAACCAATTAATTATGATATTGGAAATTTGTATTATACATCCGTGCACGAATGTATTGCAAAACTTTTTATATTATATATTAATCCTATTATTATTAAAAAATTTTTCTCAAAACTCCACTTTTCGACTTTTCACTCGCAAAATATGTCCCCGATAAAGTCGTGGTTTCACGGGAAACGACGAGAGATTGTGGCACACCGGCGGTGCGCCCGTGTGTCAGGATCATCGGAGCGTGGAACATCCGGTAAGTGTACAGGAGGGAGAGGGTTTTACATGCATGTGACTCGGCACCTCGGCATCCGCGGCCGTTCGTTCGCATTCCTTCCTCTCGTTCGTCGGGCTTTTTGGAGCACCGTAAATTATTATACGTCTCGCGTCCGCGGGTGACTCAGTGTCAGTCAGCCATACGGCATTCACGTGTAATAATACGATCGACCCGAATTCACATATGTGTAATATGAGAAAAAAAAATATATTTATTTATAAAATATAAATCTATATATTTTCGATTTGTACGAATTTTATGCAACTTCGTCTCAGACTAACTTCTAAAGGACTTTCGTTTTGACCTGAAAAAGAGAAAAAATGCCGTAACATCTTTCTCATCTTTTTGTTCGCAGTACCACTTGAGGAGCCGCGTTTCACCAATCAGCCGTCCAGCAGTGGCAATATACTTAGCGAGAATCGCACAAAGTTTCTGCAATGCCAAGCACGAGGTAAGAAAATCGCAATCTAACGTGAAAATTTTCTCCATTTACATACTTGATAAATTCTTGATGTAAGAATAATAGTTCTTGAAAATTAGTTTGCTGGGAAATTTTAATAACGATTCTGTAACCTGGGAAAACATCGCACGTTTTTTTTACACTAGTTAAAAATTTTGGACTTGTCATTTAATTTTTTTTTTTCTTGCAAAACAAATTGCTGTTCTATTTCTATATTAAAATTTTAAAGAACGAGATTCGGAAATATTGCAAGTTCAAGTTTTGTTTTCTTTTAATGAAAATATATATAATATATATATATAATTTCAAAAAAATAACGAAGTGATATTATTGACATTCCGTTTAGTATCAACATTTGCTATTTTATCATTGTTGATGATTTGAATTATTCCGTCATTATCAATCGATATACATTATCAAAAAATACCTCAAAATCTCGTTATGTAAAGATAAAAGAAGGAGTGATAAAAGGACCACAACAGCAATGAGAGGATAAGGTTCGCCGCGTATGGCGTTCCATTGTCCTGTAAAAATATCGGGTAACGGGCGGATGAGACGGTGACCAGATGAAGCCTCACCGATGCTCAGCACCGTGTAATTCGATCCTATGACCCTGTACTAATGGTATTAGATAGCTCACGGTTTAACATCGTCGTCCGTGACTTTGCAAACGAGAATCATATTGAATCATTCATGAATATTTTACGTTAAATCATTCTTCGCGGTATTACAAGAAACCGCGTTTTCGAATAATTATATATTTCATATAATTCAAAGAATCTGCCGTTAAAAAAAAAAGATTTTGTTAGTAAGAAAGGAATATCTTATGCATACTTCCCGATATCCTTTACGTAAATTAGAATTTTAGATTATAATCTAAACTTGAACTAAACGATCTCGAAAAAGAAAAATTATTTGTAGCAACAAGCAAATTTCATATCGCCATTTCCGCAGGCAATCCTCAACCAAAGTACAAATGGTTCAAAGACGGGGTGCCCCTCAGCAATGAGCTCACTTCCGGGCCTTACTTCCGCATACAGAGTACGCGACGAGAGGATGCCGGGGTGTATCACTGCGTCGCGACGAACGACGTGGGGTCCATATTCAGCGATCGTCTCGCCTTCGCTGTAGCTTGTAAGTATCTTGACGAATCGTACAGATCTTGCGAGGCTGTCGCATATTACGGATCGACGATTTTAATCTGTCCTTAGATATGGGAGTGTTCAATAATCTCATGGACAAAGTGGTGACCGTCGAGTCGGGTAGCGCTGCGATTCTGGAACTACCCCCGATCGAGAGCCATCCTACCCCGGAGGTAACGTGGTTCTCCTCGGACGGGACGCTTTTGTACGGTATAAAGTACGCAACGACCCATCACACGCTACTAATACTAAACGCTTCGGAAAGCGACGAAGGTTCCTATAGGTTCGTATAATTTATACAATCAATAATGCTTCATTTTATTTATTTCTTGGTACATAGGATTGCTTGTTCCCGAATTTCGAAATTATGAATAAAAGAGAATTTTCCTCTTTTTTCAGTTTTAAAATTTCAAAATTTTTCAAACCAAATTTAAAGATTTTGCTTTGTGGTCTGCAGTTGCAGAAAATTCGAGATTGAGAGTTAAGAAAATTTCAATGAACTTTGACAAGTTTAAGCTTATGTCTTTCTGACTATTTATTGTTCACAGAGCGAAGGCTATCAATACCCAATTGGGCAAGGAGGAGAATAGCCCGTTTTTCAAGTTGCAAGTCACCGGCGATCCATATGCGGAAGTGGCCCCTACCATAATCGTCAAGCCGCAGGACACGCAGATAATCAAAGATCAAGACGTCACGTACATAAACTGCATCGCGAATGCCAGGTAATCGAAAGCTTTTCTGCCTTTGTTACTTTCTATGTACGATTATTCTTCTTTTCGCTGTTTGTCTGAATAATGTTTGATGTTTGTCGCAACTCGGAAAGATTCGAAACAACAAAACTGCATCTGTTTCAGGTCACTTCACGAGTTACGGACCTTGTGGATGAAGGACGGCATTCCGATCGAAAACTCTAGGATATCGTATAGCTTTAACGATTCGTGGAATAGAACACTCGCATTGATCTCAGCCAATATAACTTACACGGGGATCTATTCTTGCCATGTGGATTTGAGGAGCGGTGGTTATCCGACTGTAAATGCGAGTGCCAAGGTTGTTGTATACGGTAAGTATAATCCAGTGTAAATAAGTACGTGATAAATGTGTAAATAATTGATGAAATAACAATCGTAATATAAATCACGCGGTTATCTTAAAAAAAGAATAATATGATACGAGACTATCGATCATTCATCATTATAATACACAGCTAAAAATTATTAAATTTTTTAGGATAATAAATTATACAGAGTTTTGAATTAAAGTGTTTTAACAAGCATATACCAATTTTCGCTATATTTGTTTAGAAAAACCAACATTTATAACGGAATTAAAGAGGGAGACCCTGAGCGATTACGGATCCACAGTAACGTTACCGTGCGACGCTAACGGCGTACCACCTCCTGTAATCAGTTGGTTCCGTAATGCCGAGCCCGTTGATCATTTACTGGGAACCAGGTATGCCTCGGCAAATATTTGACTTTGCGATTCGAGAAAAAGACAGAAAGAGAGAGAGAGAAAGTTATATCTATTTTAACTTTTAGTTTTGTTGAAACTTTTCTGTAAATTTGAAATAATAGCCGCTTTTTACGTGAAAGATATATTTTTTATTTATATAAGTTGGGGTAACATATTTTAATAAATTTTTTATTGCAAATTAAAATATATATGTGATATTAAAGAAGTTACTTATTAAAATTGGTTAAAATTTGGTAAAATTTTAATGAAATAAAAAAAGATTTTAATATTTAAAGAAAGTATTTTGCAATTTTCAATGTTTGAACTTGTTTTTTCAAAGACTCTAAAGTCATTCGGGTGACAACTATGTATAATTGTACGCTTGTCACACGCGTTTTATAGATATATAATGGAGGAAGATGGTTCATTGACAATCAAAAAATTGACTATGGACGACTCGGGAATGTTTCAATGCCTTGCATCTAATGATGCCGGCGAATCATCCAGTTATACATGGCTGAAGGCGAAAAGTGAGTACTTATCTAGAATTTCGTGTTATACCGCGATATTTTAATAACAATAAAATCATTACCCAGTCCGTACACAAGGTGTTCGCGAAACACGCGATTAAACTATTTTGATATTTTTTTTCACTAATGAAAAAATTTGATACTCTTATAAAAACCAAAAAGCTGCTCTATAAACTTTTTTTTTTTATTATTGATAAATTGCAAAATTTGTATAAACAATACATTATACGATTTTGTAAAGAAGAGATGAATAACTATCATAAATGATGCTAGCAAATATACAATTTGTGATTTTGAATATAAGATGTGTTATTAAAGATTGGATGCTTGTCTTTCTCTGTGTATTCATCAACATATAAATTATATAACATAGGTAGTTTATTGATAGAGAAATTGTTTAGCCATTTAAAAGTGTCATATAAAGACGTTATCTATAAATGTTTGAATAAATAAATAAATGCAACACATTACGAATAGAGATGTCTGATTAGCGTTTTTCACGAACACTTCGCGTAATAATGTCGCAAGCAGAGTTACAAAAGTGTCATATAAAGACGTTATCTATAAATGTTTGAATAAATGCAACACATTACGAATAGAGATGTCTGATTAGCGTTTTTCACGAACACTTCGCGTAATAATGTCGCAAGCAGAGTTAATACATATGACGTATTTTTTGTATGCGACACAGAAGAAGAATTAGGAAGCGGATTGAGAAACAGAGTTGCCCGCTGGGCGGCTGGCTACAATGTAGTCAGAATTCGCCAATCTGACCGCCGTTTTATGTTCTCTCATTATCCAGACAGTAAGAATATTACTGCGAAATTTCTTCACATTTCTTTTCCATTATTATTCTCGGCACATGCTTGTGAAGATTGCGTATAAATTTCACTTTTCACGATTTTTTGCTTCTTCTAGTAATAAATGTTTTCATAAGACAAACGCATCATGTCGGATATATTAATGTTTTAGATGATTTATTATTATTCCAATTGTATAGAGTTTTAGCAAAAGATATTAAAAAATCAATAGTTTGTTTTTTACGTGATTAGTAATTTAGTGATCTTAATTAGTTTAGTGTTTCTCTTTTTAAATTATGTAATGAATGGCGTATGAAATATTTTCGTAAAATTATCACATGGAATGGCTCATTGTTTTTTGATATAATCATAAAGGATTCTTGGCACGCATCTGCGACATTGCAAGTAACACCGATACGCACGTTTTGTTCTCCCCAAATATGTTATAGATTAGAAATATACATATTTTCAATAAGACCTATTTTGAATTATGGATGTTTCACGATAAGTATTATATTAAGCATTTAGCGATTATTTTACACATTTATCGTGAATCAGCCTGTATTTCGTTAGCCATTAGTTTGCGTAGTTTTGCTACTGAATATGTGTTTGTGTTTTGCTTTAAAAAAAAAATAAGCTTGTTTTTGGAAATGAGTGTAAAGAAATAGAGAAAGAGTAAGAATTACGGATGGGTTTATATAATATATTTTTTCATTTGCACGTTGTGAGAAAACATTGGAAATCGATTCGATATCAATGATAAAATTTTTGTAATTTATAGCATCTGGACCGATTATGGAAAAAGGTCCACAGAATTTAACAGTGTTGGATGGCAAAGATGCGACTTTGACTTGCTACGCGGTAGCGGCACCTAAACCAAACACTACCTGGTACTATAATGGTAATTAAATTTAAAAAATTTAATTATTATATTGTGTTAAATCATACATTATTTCAATTTGATATCAAATTATAATTTTATTACTAAAAAAATATTTATTCTTTGTAAAATTAAAATAAATGAGATTCTTTCTCTTACGTATTACTGCAAGAAGCATCTGTTTACATAACAAATTGCAAAATCTAATTGCAACAGATACGATACCTGTGGAGATCGCCGGGAGAGTACAAGTCTTGGACAATGGTGATCTTTTAATCGCAGCGGTAAAGCCGTACGATGCGGGAAAATATACTTGTATCCGGGCGAATGAAGCCGGCTCTGTTAATGGATCGGCATACTTGACCGTTATGGGTAATTATTAAAACAATTTTGAGGCAGACATTATAAACAAGATAAACAGAAATCTTTTCACTTTATTCATTCCCTTATATTTATCTCATAAATAAAATATTTTTCTATAATTGGAGACAATTTTTTTAAAAAGTCAGAATATATATATAGATATATATTTTTTTTTAATTTTCCAAAATTATATATTTATCTTATCTGCATATTGTATCGCATTATATGTATTATCAAAAGTTATTTTTAATTTAAGTATTTAAGTTTTGTACGCTACTATGTTATCAAATTTTTAATAATAAATTTTTAAGTATTCATATAAAGAAAGTTTTCCTATGTAAAAATACTTTTAAAATAAAAATTGATTCTCTCGCGTTTGACCTTCAATCATAGCTATATATCGTTTGTATACATATTTATTATATATAACTCTCTCTCTCTCTCTGTTACAGTTCGGACGCAAATTATCCAACCACCTGTTGATACATCCGTGCTTCTCGGACACATCGCCGAATTACGAGGAATACTATATATTTTTACAATATTAATACTTTAATATGACTTATGATATAAATTCGAAATCTTTTATATCAGAAAAAATCTCTCGCATGCGTTAATTTTTCACAAAACTTAAAACTGTGGTCAGAATTTTTTATTTTTCAAAGCATGGAATTGAAATCTAATAAATTCACATTTTTTTTTTTTTCATAAAAATTGCATGGGTTTAATTGTGACTGTTGATCTATTATCGAAATATGCCAGCAAAACTGTTTGAATTGAAAAAAGCGGATGAGATTTTACATAACTCTTTCAACGTCTGAAAATCTCAAAATAATACATTTGTGATTACAGAGTAATAAACACGCAAGCGAGTCAGAGAGTGAAAATGCGACCGGACGGGACTCTTGAGATTGTCGCCGTTCGAGCTTCCGACGTGGGGGACTACACGTGTTCCGTAGTGTCGCCGGGTGGAAACGAGACACGATCCGCTCGTCTGAGTGTGATCGAATTGCCATTTGCGCCGATCAACGTCGTAGCCACTCGAGTAGAGCGGATCTCACCGCGCACGATCAACGTTACATGGGTACCCGGTTTCGACGGTAACAGTCCCACGAAAAAATTCATAGTTCAGAAGCTAGAAGTATCCGATTTAGGTAAGTGTAATCCGGGTATAATTTGGACATGCAAGTGCTGTTATGTTTATATTTTCTGATTTATAAGATACGTATATTTTGTGTAGACAGACACACATAATTGTAAAAAAAACATTGCTATTAAATATGTATTCAAAAAATACATATCTTACAAATTCACGATAGAATAAATATAATAGAAAAGAATAGAAAATAAAATAGGATAAATATAAATTAATTGACACATTACATTTATTTTTATATATTTATATGTTTATATATTATATAATTATCTATAATAGGAATATTATCTAATATTATAAATAGGACCTATAACTAGCCCGTTATTAAACTGGGTTACCGAACGCGATAACGTGTCGGCGACAAGCCGATGGGTATTGTTGAATAATTTGAAAGCCGCGGCAGCTTATCAATTTCGCATCAGTGCTGAAAATAGCGTAGGCGAAGGTCCATCGTCAGCACCTAGCAACATCGTCGTCCTACCCCAAGAACGTAAGTGATTAGAAAGAGAATGACGATTCGATAAGAAACAGTGATGTAATATCTATCCTATTTTCGTTGTGAAATAAACTATGAACCGATTTTTGATACGTATATCGATTCAATTTGATTGTTTTGATCATCAGCGCCCAGCGGTCCACCGATCGGCTTCGTCTAATAACTCAATGGCAGCCTCCGCTGGACGAATACCGAAATGGTCATATTTTGGGATATATACTAAGGTACAGGTTGCACGGATACAATGACAGTCCGTGGACGATACAGAATATCACCAATGAAGCGCAAAGAAATTATCTCATTACCGATCTGATCACGTGGAAGGATTACGAGGTGCAGATAGCAGCTTACAACGACATGGGTGTGGGCGTATACACCAAGGGCTTGCAGATTAAAACCAAAGAAGGAGGTGATTAATCAATATTTAAAGCATTGTTTATAATAATATGATTTCAAAGTATCGTATAAAAACTAATTAAGATATAATTCTGGAATATTACATTTGTTACATTATTACAATATATATATATATATATACAGTTCCGGAAGCACCTCCTACGAACGTAAAAGCGGAAGCGGTTAATTCAACGGCGGTGAAAGTTTGGTGGAAACCACCGAATCCGCAAAAGATCAACGGAATAAATCAGGGATATAAATTACAAGCTTGGTTCGGCGGCAATTTTACGGAAGCGACTGAATATAAGTCGATGACCGTACCACCCAGCTTATTTGATCCGCTCGCCGAACAAAGTGCTATTATGACGGGTTTAAGGAAGTATACCCTGTATAATATTACGGTGCTTTGCTTCACCGATCCAGGTGACGGCGAAAGAAGTTTGTCTGTCGAAATACGCACTTGCGAAGATGGTACATTTACTTCACAATATAACTAATTAATAACTAATTATTTGACTTATGCATTAAATTAAAATTTAAAATTTTAATAATTTTAATTTGTAAAATTAATGATATTTTTCCTATCTTTGATTTCTTTTTATACAATGAAAAAAAAGATCGTTCTTATTGGTATTATATGTATGCGATTGTTTTGTTTTCAAATATCTCTTATCTGTTATAGTACCCGAAGAAGTGGAAAATTTACAATTTGAAGACATCAGCGATCGCGCGCTGACAGTTAAGTGGAGTTCCCCTAAAGAGACTAATGGCATATTGACACATTACCAATTGAAATATATGATTAAAGAGATTCCGGATTCTTTGCGCGTCGAAAACTTTACGGCCGATGTGTTGTCGACAAGAGTAAAACATTTACAGGTAGCCATCAATTCCAAACAATATAAAATTAATCTGAATTAAAAAAGACATCTAAAAATGATAAAATAATAAAGAAATCTAGAGGATGCTCTAAAAATGATAATAAATTACGAAAAAAATGAAATTAAAAAAGGCAGAAGTAAATATATAATTTATTTATTAGTTACTATTGTTTCTTTTAGGCATTGACCCATTACAAATTTGAAGTCACTGCGTGGACGTCGATTGGACCAGGAAAATCGAAAGTAGCAACCATACAATCAGGCGTAGAACCGGTGCTACCAGAACCGCCCACAAAACTAGCATTGTCCAATATAGATGCATTCTCTGTTGTGTTACAATTCACACCGGGATTTGATGGCAATTCGTCTATTACAAAATGGACAGTGCAGGTTGGTCGATTATCAACTTTTACTTTGAAAATGTCAAAGAGAATTATTATTTATTACATCTTTTAGCTTTAATATTTTTCGAAAATTTAAAAATTTTGTTAATTAAAAAATTAAGAAGAAAAAAAGTTTTTAATCGAATGATGACGTCGTTATTTATTTACTTAATATCTGGAAAATGCTCCATTTTTTATAGCGCTAATTTTATAAGATCTGTTCCCCCTAAGATACGATCAAACAGAAAGATTCAACATGATAGATAGAATTATACGATTGATAAAAGACAAAAGATAAATTATATATAAGAGAAAGAAATTAAATACATAACTTTTCTCGAAGGCACAAACGGCGCGAAACTCAACGTGGTACAATATCTACGAGGTATCCGATCCTGACGCTAGTACGATCACCGTCGATGGTTTGACCCCCTTCATGCAATACAAGCTTCGTTTAATCGCGAACAATGTCGTCGGTGCGTCGCAGCCTTCCGAATCGACCAAGGAATTCCAAACGATTCAAGCATCACCCTCTCATCCTCCAAAGAACGTCACGGTCCGCGCGATGAACGCCACCGAATTACGCGTCAGATGGATCGTGAGTATTCATTATATTTGATATGTAATTTTTGTATCAATTATTACTACTGAAAAGATATTGTATTAAGATATAAACATAAGAATCACACATATAATTTTCTGCGCAGCCGTTGCAGCAAATAGAGTGGAACGGAAATCCACGCGGGTATAACATCACGTACACGGAAGTACGCTCAAACATCTCGAAGAGC